TGCAGTGGTCCGATTTTGAAAAATATTTTGACCATGATCCAGTCAAAACTGGGCAAATTGGTGAACATAAACATTGTAGCCCTTCTTCTTATAATTCTATTGGTCTAAGAATCACCTCATTGGGATTTTTTTAGAAAGAGATATAGTCAAAATATTGAAACATATACGAATGAAGCTATCACCATACTTGCAATGATTTTCATCAAATGAGTCTTTTTCATCAATTTCCTACAAAAGCCATAAGCGAAATTAGCAATAACTACTCTTAAAGTAATTTAAAATAAAATAACCTATAATTTAACTAAAATAACTTAAATTAATCACTTAACAAGTAATCAAACTTAAACTAGAAAAATACCTAAAATGCTAAAATCCGAACCTAAAATCTCAAAGATCTAGCTGCTTAAGCTCCCAAAATGAGTCAAAATAACTCTATATAATAGAGTTATCAGATACAGGGCAATACAATCATGAAATCCACAGCTACGTGTTCCCATTTTCATTCGGGAATCGATAGGGGTTGTAGCAAACCTGGGGGTTTCCCGTGTTTAGCTTTAACTTGTTGACAAGTTAAGCACTTGGCTACATATTCAGCTATATCCTTCTTCATGCCTGGCCACCAATAAACTATTTTCAAATTGTGATACATCTTGGTGGCTCCTAGATGCACTATGTAGGTGGTAATGTGAACTTCCTTTAAAATCTCTTCTCTCAAGTTATCTCGATCTGGTACGTATGTCCCAGATTCATATTTCAATAATACTTCATCTCCATGGACCAACTTCGGATCTCGTTCTTCAGATCCCAAGTATTTCATTATAAATTCATCTCGATCCTGTGCACTAGGAATTCGATCCAAGATCATTAGTCGTACTCGAAAATGAGCAATAAGGGCACTAGGCCCACCAATATCGATATTGACCCTCATATTACCTAAACTTTGCCATCCATGCACTATGCTTCGTCGTTCAGCTAACAAATGTGCCAAACTCCCCATAGACTTCTGACTCAAAGCATCTACTACCACGTTGGCCCTACCAGGTAGATATTGAATAATACAATCATAATCTTTGAGCAATTCCATCCAACGGCGTTGCTTTAAATTTTGATCACATTGTTGAAATATATACTTCAAGCTCTTATGATCCGTATATATTTCAAAGCTTTCCCCATACAAATAATGATGCCAGATTTTTAATACGAATACTGTCGTTGCCATTTCCAAGTCATGAGTAAAATAGTTTTACTCATGCCTTTTGAGTTGCCTTGAGGCGTACATGATAACTCTACCATTTTGCATCAACACACATCTTAATCCAACCCTTGATGCGTCGCAACACACAACATAACGTCTTAGAGCATTTGGTAAACTTAAGACTGGTGCTGAAATCAAACACTTTTGAGAAATTCATTAGTCTTAAGGAACTATCTTCACATTCATTAGTCCATTCAAACTTAGCTCTCTTTCGAGTCAACTTCGTCAATGGTGCTGCGATTTTTGAGAAATTCTATACAAATAGACGATAATACTTAGCCAATCTGAGAAAACTTTGAACCTCGGTAACTGTACTCGATTTTAACTAGGTTTGAATCAATGCAACTTTTTGCGGATGCACACTAACCCCTTCCTTCGATATCACATGTTCTAGAAAACTAACACTCTCTGACCAAAAAACGCACTTAGAGAACTTTGCATACAATTCATGTTCTCGAAGTGTTGGCAACACCATTCGTAAATGTTGTGCATGTTATTCAGGGCGCCGAGAATATACTAGCATATCATCTATAAACACCACCACAAATCTATCCAAATAGACTCGAAATACTCTATTCATTAGATCCATAAAAGCGGTGGGAGTGTTAGTTAAACTAAAAGACATTACCAAAAACTTAAAATGGTTATGCCTCATACAGAATGCGATCTTTGGTATATCCTCTTCTCATATTCTTAACTGATGATACCTGAAGTGTAAATCAATTTTTGAAAAACATTGTGCACCTTGCAATTGATCGAATAAATCATCGATTCTAGAAAGTGGATATTTATTCTAAATGGTCACACTATTCAACTTTCAATAATCCACACATAACCTTAAACTTTCATCTTTTTTCTTTACAAATAATACCGGAGCTCCACAAGACGAAGTACTCAGACGAATAAATACCTTTTCCCCTAACTCTTGCAATTGCTCTCGTAGTACTCGTATCTCTGCTAGTGCCATCCGATAGAGAACTTTGGATATTGGTTCTGTGCTAGGAATCAAATTAATGAAAAACTTAATTTCCCTTTCCGGAGGCAACCTAAGCAATTCCTCCGGAAACACATCTTCAAATTCGTTTACTATTGGCACCCTCTTAATATCCGAAACCTCTTCCTCTATTAACACATCTTCCTTGGCCATTACACATACCAAATAATTCTATCTTGTTTCCACTCTAGTAACTCTTGCCAATATTCCTTTGTTGCAGGGACTCCTATGTCCATAAATAATAAATGAGGCTTTTTTGGGAAACTTAAATTCTACATATTTGTAGTGACAATCGACATTGGCATAGCAATTGTACAACCAATCCATTCCCAATATTGTGACAAATCATAATGTTATTAATAACACCAAATCCACTAATGTCTCTTGATGGTTAATTTAAACTATACAAAACTTATAGACAACTTCTGCTATACAAATCTCTTCAAAAAGAGTGGTCACTATCAATAGGTCTACCATTATTTCACAAGGTCTATTCAATTTTAACTCAAAATTCAAGGAAACAAAAGAATGAAAAGCTCCAGGGTCAAATAATACTAATGCTTCAAAACCACAAATTAAAAGAGTACCTGTCACCACATCATCAAAAGCCAACACATCTTGCGGACCCATGGCAAATACTCTCGTTTGTCCTCTTATGAAAGTACCCTACTGTGCTAACTCAGCAGGTCGTGATCAGAAAGTAGAGGCTATTCCTTTGCCTTTATCGGGTCAACCTCTCCTAGCTAGAGGTGAAATTGCAAATGCTACCACTAACGATGGTTGTACATACCCATAACTAGCTCCTTGTGATCTCCCACCATAGAGGCAATCTTTTCGCATATGTCCTACTTGACCACAACTAAAACATACATCATACGGTTGGGCACATGGCCCCACATGCATAATACCACAACATGCACAATAAGGACTCCTCTGGCCCATCTGTCGACTATTAGGGCTAGTCATTTCATTACCCAATCCTCAACGATTACTTATTCTAGAAAAATTTCCACAACGAGGTGGACTACTAAACTGGGGGTTTCTCCTTGTCCCTTGAGACCTAGTTGACAGTTGCTTTCTATTTTAAGCAGTATCCCTTCGACTAGGCCGACTTGACCTATCGTAAGTCATTTCTCAACAAAAGTTCCTTTGACTAATCTGCCCTTCAGTCTTAGACTTTCCAGTACCTTCACGAAGTGTTCTAGCCTCCATACTATGACCCTCTATTAACCGAGCATAATCCATTACATCAGAATAGGAATCAAACCTTTGCGGAGCAATAGCTCTAAATAGATACTCAGACAATCTAGCCACAAACCAATTCACTTTCATTTCTTCAGTAGATACAAGGTATAAGGCATATCTAGACAATTGAGTAAACTACACATCATACTCAAACACTGTCATACTGAGTGTTTGTTTCAAAGCCTCAAACTCCTTGGTCTTAGCCACTTGCACATTGTGAGGCATAAACCTATCCATAAAGGCTTTATCAAATTCCTTCCAACCAAACGGACCGGCATCATTAGGTTTACCCCACATGTAAGATATAATGCACTGTTGTGCTACATCCTCAAGATGAAAACTAGCCAATGTTATTGACTTTGTGCTTAAAGCTCCTAAGGCATGACAAATCCTTTCCATAGTGTCCCAAAATCTATGCAGGTCCTCTTCCCACGATGGGACCAATAAATGATGGAGGTTTTAGCTTCATAAATGCAAATAATGAAACTGAATCATCTCTTTCGTCATCATTTGGATCATCTTCATTCTCCTTCTCTGACCCTTCCTCCTCTATCATATTTATGTTTAGGTCATAAGCCATATACTCTTCAGTTGCTCTAGCACATTGCCTAGTAAATTCTGTAAATCGTTGTTTTAAATTTTGTAATCCAACAGCTAATTCTTTCAAGGCAGCGCTCCCTAAAGTAAGTCCACCAGCCCTAGTGTTGTATGTACTAGCACTCCTACGGTCACTCAAACTACCCTCACTCGAACGCTAGGAACTCCTCTTTCCCCTTATTCTAGGACAACCTAGTCCTCGTAAGATAGAAACCTGTAATCGTTCATCTGTCTGTCTGGGCACATCTAGCTCACCTTCAGCCCTTAAAGATGCTTGAGTTCGAGATGGCATCTCAAACCTGGACATCGACAATCAATTCTCATTATTTAATTGTCTCTTATAATTACATAAGGTGACTTTCTAAGATATATAAAGAGATCCACACAGCCTCTTACCTATAATCGGTGTTGCAATCACTAACTATAAGCAAGAATCTGTGTCAACCACCCTACTTTGCTGCTTAACATGAAAATTCCTTGGACTTGACTAAACCTAGGGCTCTGATACCAAGTTTGTAACAACTTTTTCCTGATCATTACCAGCGTTCGAGACTTACAAATGAACTTGTCAAATCCCAAACAAGCTTTATTTGAGATTTGGATAATTTAAAATCAACTGACATCACTAAAACTATCGTTTCCATAAACCAAATAAACAAAATATTTAAAACGTAGAATCCAGATACTGAAAACTAGATTTAACTACTCCAAAGTAATTTCAACATCACAAATGGTATTCATTGCACAACCTCAAGTTTTAGCAAATACAATCTTGATAGACTATTAATCTTTATAAGTCTAACTATTTGACACAACACGACCTCTATATAGCAGAGTGACTCAAAGTGGAAGTCTAAGAGATGCCATTACCTACATTGCAACTAGTTTTAATGTGCAAAACGATACACTTGAACCGATTACTTACCTGTAAAAGGAAATAAGAGGGTGAGTCTCACACACTCAGTAATCATCAACTTTGTGAGCAGGGTATAGATGGAAAACAAGCTAAGGTAAAAGTTTTGAATATTAAAAATATTAGAATATATGTAAATAATACAGCTAAAAATGGAGGTTTGTGCCTTATATGTAAAATTAGAAGGTTATTGCAAGATAATCATTTAAATCAAATATCGAATCAATACAACTAAATATCTCTACTGTCGAAATCATTTAACAACTTATTTAAAACAAATCAGTATAAGTACAAGATTTTCCATCTTTGAATTCATTCAACAACTTTACTCAAACCAGTCTATCATAAACATGCATGCTCTTGTAAAATCAAGAGTTATCAAAGCTTACACACAATTTCACAAATCACCTCATACGCGACGAGTTAAATCCAACATCATTAGTAAAAACAAGGGACCTGCGAAAAGTCTTATATTTCTCACCATGCGAAAGAACATGTATTGAAAACTCAAAGAGATATCACTCTCGAGTAGGTAATAGAAATAAAGAACTTGTGGACCCGCTTCCACATAAAAACATTTGAGAGCTTCACTCCACTGGATCCCCACAGCCATGATAGTCTTAATGATGTTGGCTGACATCGGAGAAATCAGGTGGTTGCAACCGCGTATATCACTTGTGACCTAGCCACATATATAAACCCATGACCTTGCCACGTATATATCACAGACCATGAACCCAGCCACATCTAACAATCTGTTGACAAGCCAAAGGTCATCTAACTAGAGCTCACTTGTCCACAAGGGTCACACTATCCTGATATGACATTCAACCTACTCTCGAATCTCCCGATTTGGTAAAATCATTTAAAATTCAAGTTAGGTTCTCAAAAGCTTATTTTAAACCATTTTCGAAATATTCAAGTTGGTAACATGACAAAATCCCTTATAAGCCTTGAAAACATAAACCCTTTGCATGAGGTTAAAATATAAATCTACATGGTGGATATGTGTTTCAATAATGAATGTACATCACACAAACTATAAGGCACATTTTGACATAAATCATATTAAAAGCTTGTTTCCCTATTTTAAAAACCTTTTACATATATATATAAATATAGCTTTTATATATATATATATATTCAAAACCATTTTCAAAATCATGCTATCCATAATTTCCTAACATCTCTACCAGCTCATGCTTTCCACAAATTTGTATTTAAAGTAAATTAACACATATATATTTGCAAAGTTATAGGAATTTTAAAATAGACACCCCCTACTCACCATACAATAGTGGGACACTAGTCAGTATTGATTTAAGTGCGTATCTAACTAATTTCTACTTGTTGGTCTCTGATTATCTCGTCCGTCATGCTACCACGGTAAACTTTTCTTACTTATTCCCTTCCTAGAAACCATTCAAGCCCAATACATTTAATTGTACTTATACATGTTAGCATATCAACTAATAATCCTTAACTAAGTCTCATAGTTTTTATCAACATCACACACAAGTGTTTATCATACAATCCATACACTTCAACCAACTAAAGCTTATACAACACAATGTAGTCACTTTGCATGCTTACCTCTCGGTTCAAGCTTGAATTTTGAAATATAATTCACAACTTCCTCACATCTATGGTCACGATTGTGCCACAAATATAGAGAATCAATATACATCTTATTTTTCCTTGCTACTTATGATTTCAAGACTAAAACACTTACCCATTGCTTATTTAACTCCAAAATCAGCATGCATTTCAAAATCTACCTACATGCATGCCTCGGGTTCTTTCAATCTTTGTAGATCCTTGCTACCTCAAACAAAATCTCGCATCACAATTGATTTATAAAGCATGCATTTCAAGCAAAATAACAAATCTTTTTACCTTCCTTGTTTCAGGTTCACATGGCCGAACCTTCTCTTTCTCTTTTCTTCTTTCTCCTTTCTCCCTTTCTTCCTTTACTTCCTAGCCGAATCTCTCTTTTCTTTCTCAAAGGTTCAGCTTTCTCAAGACAAAGCCATTTTATTTGCTAT